ATTAACTAGTTATTTAATTACTTACATGTTCGCTTGCGTGCTCATTAAAATAACAATTTTGCTTAGCATTCAACCTGCGTCGTTCCGCGCCTCCTCCACGGTGTCAATGCTTAAATGAGCAAGGGAACCACGCAAATAATTGAATAAATATTTAAATAATTATTTAATTATTTACATGTTCGCTTGCGTGCTCATTGCAATAATCATTTAGATTCTCATCCAATCCGCATCGTTCCGCGCCTCCTCCACGCAGCGCCAATGCTTAAATGAGCAAGAGAACCACGCAAATAATTAAATAAATAATTAAAGAATTATTTAATTATCTACATGTTCGCTTGCGTGCTCATTGGAAGTAGCCATTTTGAGTAGCATTCAATCCGTCATCGTTCCGCGCCTCCCCCACACAGTGCCAATAGTTAAATGAGCAAAGGAACCACGCAAATAATTAAGTAAATAGTTAATTCATTATTCAATTCACTTATTTACATGTTCGCTTACGTGCTCGTCGAAATAAATATTTGGATTAGCATTCAATCAGTCATCGCCCCGCGCCCCCGCCACGCAGTGCCATGGGTTGAATGAGCAAGGGAACCACGCAAATAATTGAATAAATAATTAAATAATTATTTAATGTTTTACATGTTCGCTTGCGTGCTCATCGAAATAATCATTTTGATTAGAGTTCAATCCGCCATCGTTCCGCGCCCCCGCCACACAGTGCCATTGATTGAATGAGCAAGGGAACCGCGCAAATAATTAAAAAAATAATTAAATAATCATTCAATTACTTACATGTTCGCTTGCGCGCTCATCGAAATAATCATTTTGATCAGCATTCAATCCGCCATCTTTCCGCGCCTCCCCCACGCAGTGTCAATGATCAAATGGTCAAATCAGACAACTATGAAATTACTTACATGTTCGCTTGCGTTAAGCATTTACAACGTAATATGAAGTGAATACGCTTAGCCATTCTATGTAAAACCCCGAGCACCCGCCTGCCTGGAAATATTATGCAAGAGCATAGTTTCCTACCAAGCAACGGTGTCCGGTGTCCGGTGTCCGGTGTCCAAAATCCGGTGTCAGGTATCGGGTGTCCGGCATCCGGCGTCTGGCGTCCAACATCTGGCGTCCGGTGTCCGGTGTCCGGAAACCGGGTGTCCGGTGTCCGGTGTCCGGAAACCGGGTGTCCGATGTCCGATGTCCGGTTTCCGGCATCCGGCATCCGGCGTCCGGCGTCTTGCGTCCGGCGTCCGGTGTCTGATGTCCGGTGTCCGGTGTCCGTTGGTGTCTGGTGCGCATTGTCCGGTGTCCGGTGTCCGGTGTCCGGTCCCCGGTGTCCGGTGGCCGGTGGCCGGTGTCTGGTGTCCGGTGTCCGGTGTCCGGTGTCCGGTGTCCGGTGTCCGGTGCCCAATGTCCGGTGTCCTGTGTCCGATGGCTCCGGTGTCCGGTGTCCGGTGCCCGGTGTTTGGTGTCCGGTGCCCGGTGTCCGGTGTCCGGTGTCTTGTGTCCGGTGTCCGGTGGCCGGTGGCCGGTGGCCGGTGTCCGGTGTCGGGTGTCCAGTGTCTGGTGTCCTGTGTCTGGTGTCCGGTGGCCGGTGGCTGGTGGCCAGTGTCCGGTGTCCGGTGTCCGGTGTCTGGTGTCCGGTGCCCGGTGTCCGGTGTCCGGTGTCGGCTTCAGTGTCCGGTGTCCGGCGCGCGAGAATCGGTGTCCGGTGTCCGGTGTCTGGTGTCCGGTGCCCGGAAACCGGGTGTCCGGTGTCCGGTGTCCGGAAACCGGGTGTCCGATGTCCGATGTCCGGTTTCCGGCATCCGGCATCCGGCGTCCGGCGTCCTGCGTCCGGCGTCCGGTGTCTGATGTCCGGTGTCCGGTGTCCGTTGGTGTCTGGTGCGCATTGTCCGGTGTCCGGTGTCCGGTGTCCGGTCCCCGGTGTCCGGTGGCCGGTGGCCGGTGTCAGGTGTCCGGTGTCCGGTGTCCGGTGTCCGGTGTCCGGTGTCCGGTGTCCAGTGTCCGGTGTCCGGTGTCCTGTGTCCGATGGCTCCGGTGTCCGGTGTCCGGTGCCCGGTGTTTGGTGTCCGGTGCCCGGTGTCCGGTGTCCGGTGTCCTGTGTCCGGTGTCCGGTGGCCGGTGGTCGGTGGCCGGTGTCCGGTGTCGGGTGTCTGGTGTCCGGTGTCCGGTGTCTGGTGTCCGGTGGCCGGTGGCTGGTGGCCAGTGTCCGGTGTCCGGTGTCCGGTGTCCGGTGTCCGGTGCCCGGTGTCCGGTGTCCGGTGTCGGCTTCGGGGGTCCCCACGTTCTGTCTTCACGCGAACTCCATTCCCCGGTGCCGGTGGGCGATAATCGTTCTATAGTGTGACGATGGGTCATGATGATCATACAGTCATGGTGAAGTCGGTACCATCCTGATATGCTCGTCGTCGCCGACATCATCATCGCCATCATCGACATCATCTTCATCATGTGCATCAGCATCATCGTCGTCGGGATCGGATCTGCAGGTCCGGTGGGTCCGGTGGGTCCGGTAGGTCCGGTGGGTCCAGTGGGTCCGGTGGGTCCGGTGGGTCCGGTGGGTCCGGTGGGTCCGGTGGGTCCCCGGCGGGTCCGGTGGGTCGGTGGTCCGTGCGGGTCCGGTGGTCCGGCGTCCGGTGGGTCCGGTGGGTCCGGTGGGTCCGGTGGGTCCGGTGGGTCCGGTGGGTCCGGTGGGTCCGGTGGGTCCGGTGGGTCCGGTGGGTCCGGCGGGTCCGGTGGGTCCGGTGGGTCCGGTGGGTCCGGCGCGACCCCAGGGCGAACCATTCTGGAATTGTTCCTGCAGGTCCGGCGACGACGGCAGGACAGCTTTCGAGAGGCGGGAGGGCAGGCCCCACCGTCGTCGGCCCCCGGAGTTCGGCGAGCTGGTGATGCTCTTGACCGCGGCCGACGGCAAGCATCGGTGGAGGCTCGACGAGCGCTCCCACGCTGGCATGCACGCGGGGCTCGTCGACCGCACCGACGAGGTCATCGCGAAGGACGGCTACTTCAAGGCCAACGCGATCCAGCGGCTGCCGGAGGAGCAGCGGGGCGACAAGAGCTTCGCGGAGGCATGCAGGGGGCTCCCATGGCAGGGGCCCCGCCAGACGGGCGACGACGCGGAGGGGATCGCCCCCTTCCTTGCAGCTGCGCCGTTGGCCCCGGCTGAGGAGCTGCCGCCGCCGCTGGCAGGCAGGACGCTGGCGGGTCCGAGGCGCGTCTACATCCGCCGGGAGGTCGAGCTCAGGCTGGTGGCGGAGGGTGGCTTCGGGTACACCGAGGGCTGCCGGGGTTGCAGGGCGGCCAAGGAGGGAAGGACTGCAGTGGCGCATACCGAAGCCTGCCGGGCCCGGGTCGAGCAGGCGATGACGGGCAACGCTGAAGCAGCCGAAAGCACGCCTGAAAGGAGCGAAGATGCGCAGGGGGAACGAGACGCCAGCCAGTCAAGCGGCCCCCGCGACGCCTGGCCTGGCGGCTGCGCCACGCGCACTTGCACCCACGCAGGTGGAGGCTGCTGGACCGGCAGCGGCAGCAGCAGCGGCATCGCCCGCTACGGACGCGGACGTGATGTCCGAAGACCCCATCCTCGAGCTGCCGGAGGACGTGGCCACTGAGCCCACGCTGGCGGCCACGGAGGCGAGCGGCGGCGACGTCGCCAGGATGGGGGGCATCGGATCCATCGTGAAGTCCAACAATGTCGACCTGGTCAATTCGGCTGCAGCCCGATCGAGATGTCACGGCTCGAGACTGACGTGGCGAAGGTTTCCAAAGTGCTCGGGCGCAGCACGTTTGCGAAGCGTGCCAGTGCCCGCGAGTTCTTCCTCACCCCGGGGCTCGCGCTCCACCTCGGTACCCGGCGGGGCCTGAACGCCCCAGAGCAGAAGAATGAGGCCATGCGACTTCAGGATCGCGAGCGGCCGCTACTCCTCATCGGTTCCCCACGGCGCACTGCGTAGACAGCTCTCCTGGATCTCGGGCAGGCGAAGCAGGAGACCATCGACGGCCTCATGGCGGAGGCACTCGAGCACCAGGACATCTGCGTGGAGATGTGCCGCAAGCTGATGGAGAACGGCCGCTACTCCTTGCGCGAAGCCCCGCACTCTGCGAGGTCGTGGCACACGAAGGGCCTCCGAGACCTCGTTGTCAGGCCCGACGTTTTCCACGTTGACAACGACCAGCGCGAGGCGGGCCGGACGGTCCTTGTCAAACAGCCCGACGGCAGCATGAAGGACATGACGGTCCAGGGCCGCACGGGCTGGATGACCAATTCCCTGTGCGTCGCGAAGGAGGTCGCCAAGTTCCAGCGTCGGAACCTGCATGGCGGGCACCACCAGCACTGCCACCTCCTGGATGGGAAGGCCAAGTACAAGGCTAGCTACCCGCCAGCTCTCGTGGCAGCCATCCTGCGCGGCTTCAAGGCGCAGGCCGAGTTCGATTAGATGGCGAGCGGCACGGGCATCTCGGTGGGGAGCCTGGACGAGGGCTACAACGTGGACACCGGGACCCGCGAGATGCTGCACATCTCCGAGTATGAGAGCGTCTTCGACGATGTCACTGGCGCGCAGCTGCCTCCTGAGAAGGTGGCCCAAGCACGCAGGGCGGGGATCGAGTTTCTCTGCAGCTTTCCAGTCTACAAGCCGGCGGATGTCTCGGAGGCGGGTGGCCACGAGATCATTAACACCAGGTGGGTTGATGTCAGCAAGGGAGACTACGAGAATGTGAATTCGCGGCTCTGCGCCAGGGAGCTCAAGTGGAAGAACCCGTGACTGGAGGACACTTTCGCAGGCACACCACCGCGGGAGGGCATCAAGATGGTGCTGAGCAAGGCCATGACGGGCACCCAGAACCCCAACGGCGGTTTCAAGATCAAAAATATTTTGATACTGGACATCTCCAGGGCTCACTTCCACCCGCCGGCCGAGCGCAAGTTGTTTATCCGCATTCCCAGCGAGGACCCTGCAGGATAAGGCGGACAGATTGGATTTCTGCTTCGCATGATGCACGGCATGAGGGACGCGGCGGCCGGCTGGGAGGAGTGCCATCAGGAGAAGCTGGCCATGGCGGGCCACAAGGCAGGAGTGTCCTGCCCCTGCGCGTTCGCCAACTCAGACGGCCCATCATCTGGGGCCGTGCACGGCGCCGAATTTGTGTTCGAGGGCGAGGAGCGCCAGCTGGACACGATGGAGCGTGAGTTGTGGAAGCACATGCAGGTCCAGCGGTAGGCTCTCCTCGGCCCCGACACACCTGAGGATAAGCACGCGACGATCCTCAACCGGCTCATCTCCTGCGTAGACGGCGGTTTCTCAGTCAAGAGTCGGATCGCCATGGAGCGTGACCCCCGTCATGCACAAATCATTGTACACGAACTCGGATTGGGCGGATCTTGCTCCAAGGCGGTGACGACACCTACGGAGAAGTGCGCATAGCATTATGACGACACTCCGCTGGCGGGCGCAGAGGAGGCTAAGGCGCACAGGCCCCTGCATGCGGCTCGGCTTCCTCGCCCAAGACGCACCCCACCCACAGTGCGTGGCTAGCAAGTGCTTCAAGCACATGGCGGTTCCTACGATTGGCGGCCCAGCCTGGCTCGAGAGGGTCGCCAGGTTCTTGAGGGGCGAGCCCGATGCGTGCAAAGCTGCGTCGAGCAGCGCCGCGAGGGCAAGCACATCGACGTCTACTGCGACTCCGAATGGGCTGGAGACATCGTGGATCGCAAGAGTGTCAGCTCCATCTTCGTGTTCTCCGGCCCCCATTTGCTGAAGAGCGCGGTGAGCACCCGAGGCACGACGGCCCCGCCCAGTGGCGAAGCGGAGTTTACAGCTGAAGTGAGGGGCACATCCGTGGCCCTAGAAGTGAAGTCTTCGGGGGCAGATCTCGGCGCAAAGCCGTTCCCTGCGATGCGCGCCGACAGCGGCGCCGCGAAGGGGATCCTCAAGAGGCGCGGCATCGGTCGCATTCGGCATCTACGCACGCCTCCCCTCTGGGTGCAGGAGAAGCGCGCGAAGAAGGATATCGAGGTCCACAAGACTCCGGGCGAAACCAATCTGGTGGACCTCGTGACCAAGGAGTTTTCACGAAGTGATATGAACAAGCATTTGAAGACCTGTGGGTTCGCCTTCGAGCCTGGCCGTCATCCGAAGGCTCTGGCGGCCCCGATCACGGCGCCCGGCGAGATAGGTGGCTTGAGCGGCTACGACCGGGACCAGGCGCTGCGTAGCGACGGAGCACTCCTGACATCTCCTGACTGCGGGGCGCCCGAGGGCCATTTTGGCCGGAGCCCGGGGCGGGCGCGTCGGCGCGCAGGCAGGCCGTGGACCCCACGCTCCATTACCTTCTGAGGGGCTGGCTGGGCCCCGGTGCGACGGGCACGCGCGGTCGAGCGCGCCTGGAGACGCAGACGGGCTCGAGTAGAGCTGATCAGATATGCGTCCTCTCACGTGCCTGTCCGCAGCCATCTCGGCAAAACAATTTCTCACATGGCGGAGCTTGCTTCAACGCTGCCGACGCACGACTGCCGCCACACCGACACATGCAGCACGCTCGACAGGGCATTCGTCTCGTTTGTTTTGCTTTTCCCTTGGAAAACGGCAGCTGCTCTTACAGAGCATCAGGAAGCACCGCGGATTGCCGACTGGAGTTCGAGTGATGCTGCTCTCCTGTCTTCTGACGCCCCGTCCTCGGCGGCACCGCGCTCATATTGAACAAGGCATCCCTGATTTTGTCTTCTCGCCACAACGCCGAAGCACTTCGACAGTACATGAGCTGCGTGAACTGGGATGCGATGGACTCTCGCGACCGATGGGCGCCCACGAAAGATTTGATGGTGCGTGTTGTTGCTGAGGCACGGGACCGCCTTCAACGTCTCCCTACCACTTCCATTGCATGAGGTGCCAAGGGCAGCCGTCGACTAACTTTGCGGAGCATTGCCAGAACGATTTGGCAGCAGGACCTGACCCTGGCCACCACGCTCATCAATACCACGGCGCTCGGATCTCGATTTCTCCACGTTGTTCATCAGTCCGTTAACATTGCCAAGGTTGCTGAGTTCACCAGTTCGCAATGGCATCAGAGACAGCAGCGCTATGTTGCCGCACACGCCCGTGCCAGCAATCCGTTCTCTCGTGAGGAGACCAGTTTCTTTCGGGAATAGTGGCGAAAGGCGCAGGCCACATCTCAACGCCGCGCGCGATTACTGGCACCCGTGAGGAAGCAGCTGATACTGAACGGCACTCGGCACAACAGTGCCGGCCACAGTGGATCCACAGCCCCCCCGATCGCCCCCGCGATTCACGCTTGAACCCCGCACCCCCCTGGCCGGATGTCTTTTCTTCCTTCCGTGGGGGGTCACCTTCTCGGCGAACCGTTAAAGCCACCCGTTAAACCCGGGACCGTTGGCGGCGCATAGATGTGGTGCCTTCTTCCATGCGCGCATTACCATTGGAACCCTTGAACCCGTCCGACGAGAGTGCACCTAGTACTTGAATACAACTGGGTACTATCATGTACTAGCGCGCAGCTGATCCCAGAATCCAGTTGGTTCTGCAGTACAATTAGAATTAGAGTGCAACGAATAGCGCATCACAGTTCGTATCACCACTAGGGTGCAACAATGGGGTGCAAGTAGTACTGGTACAACTTCCCAGTACACCTACTATTAGAGTGTTGCTGCATTGCGTTTACAATCTGGGCTCTCGCGTTTTCCCTCCTCTGGTTGCGCTGGGGCGCCAGCACCCCCGCGGCAGAGAGTTCATTCCTCGTCCGGTATTTCAAGCAGGGGTAACCCCCGTGCTCGAAACCCTCGCCAGGGATGTTTTTTCTTCCTTCGCGGAAACAGGACTTTCTGGGTTCTTCGGCGCGCCCCTGAAATTCTTTCCTTCCGAATGGTCCCCCACGGGTCCTATGTTGGAGTCGCCCGGGTGATCCCTCCCCCCCTAAGCCTCTTTCTTGGGGGGGGTCTCGCATTGGAGACGCAGTTGACTTCCGTACACGCCCACCACCGCTTGCAGCTGATCTTCGCTTGGGCGTCACGGCGTCACGCTTCGAGCCAGCGCTTGGCGATGGCGATGGAGCGCGGCGTCACGGCGCCCGCATGCGGCTCTCAACACTGCCACCTGTGGCGCGCCCAACGATCAGGCAGAGGAAGCTGTCTTGGCCGATGCCGCCGCCGTTACGACGGAGGGCGTTCGCCGTGCTCTGGCAGAGAAGGCTGTCTCGGCCTACGCCGCCGCTGCGACGGATCCATTTCCTTTGCCCGAACGCAATGACCGAGTGCGCCCGCCGTCTCCTGTCGCTGATCGCGTGGCTCGGGATCGTGCTGGCATGGCTGCTGCTTTGCTTCGCAATTAGGCTGCGAAACCTGTTCCGGCTGATGAGCTGTCCCCCCTACCTCGCTACACACCTCCCTCGTTATGATCGTCTTTTGATACCTCTTTCGTGAAAAGCCGACTTGCGGCGTGCTCTCCACCTTTGGAAGGCAAGCGCGCCTGGCCCTGATAGCCTCCCGTATCGCGCATGATTGGCGAACGAAGATGGAATTTGATTTTGCTGGACACTTTCTGCGGCGGGGAATCGCCGCCAGGCTTCAACCGCTCTGTGATGTGCTTCTTCAAACCGAAGGACGACAGACCCGAGGACTTGGTGGACGAGGTACGCTCTCCTGACGTTTTGCGGCCGCTGACTTTGAAGAACAGCGACTCGAAGGCCGAGACATCAACGATCAACTTTACATTCGACATGTTTCTGAACGATGCTGCCACCCCTCCGAGAGAGGGATTCCTCCGCGATCGTCTGTTTAGTTAACACATTGTGGAATTGGTCGCCGCTGCCAGGAGGGTGGGGGGACACGACGGTGCTTCCGAACGCATGCCCTGCTTTCTCTCGCTTGACGTGCTGGCCGCTTTCCCGTCCGTGAACTGGCAGTGGATCGCAGCAGTCTTGGTTCACCATTCTCTGCCGATTGGCTACATATGTGCGATCTGGTCTCCGTAATACGATTTTCAGGCCAGCTCTTGGTTCGGAGACGAACTTCTGTATCTATACCAGGTTTCCGCGGGTGTTGCTCAGGGGCACCCGCTGTCTGGAACTTTATGGGCATTTTGCTTCGACGCCTTCCTGTTCAAAATGTCCGAAGGCATCGACGCTAGCGAACCGATGTGCGATCACCTGGACGTTGGGGCGTGCGTCGACGATGTTGGTGCTGTTCTACCTCGTCTGGGCCAGGCTGCCTGGCTTGAGCCAGTGTGTCGGTCTGCGCGCCGACTTGCACGCTTCTGTTTGCAGCCCCGAGAATGCGTGGCGGTTTCATCGTGGACCGCATGATGCGCCGCCGTTGCTTAAGATATCTCCGCCCTCCTCTCTGTCGTCACCCTCCTCTTCTACTCCTCCTTTGCTGGCCTCGCCAAGTACGTCGGCATCTTGTTTGGCTCAGCGTCAAAGCTATGCCCCTGGATTCGCCTTTTCTGCAGCAACCCGATCACCGTTGGAGGCCTCTTGCCTCAAGTACAATTCCTCTATATTCTCCGTCCTCTCGTACCTCTGTCAGTTCTTCCCCCTCCCATCCTCTCTTCTCTGCAAACGGCTCCCGTCCCGAGCAACGGCTCCGACCCGGAACGGGTCTCGTCCTCCTCCTCCTCCTCTTCCTCCTCCCCCTTTCTCCTCCTGCTCCTCCGGCTCCTCCTCCTCCTCCTCCTCCTTTTCCTACTGCCCCTCCTCCTCCTCCTCTTGCTCCTCCTCCTCCTCCTCCTCCTCCTCCTCCTCCTCCTCCTCCTACTCCTCCTCCCCCCCCTCCTTCCCCCTCCTGCCTCCTCCTCCTCCCCTCCTCCTCCTCCTCCTCCTCCTCCTCCTCCTCCTCCTCCTCCTCCTCCTCCTTTTCCTACTGCCCCTTCCTCCTCGCGGGAAGCCAGACGGGATGGGCCAGGAGGGCGCCGCGCTGCAGAATGCGGCGAAGATCCTCTACATGAAGCGCGCCGAATGCAAGGCCCCGAGATCGGCCGACTACTCTCGAAACGTTCGGACAGGGCCTACTTTGGTTTCGATCGGTGCTCGATCGCTTCTAGCTCCTTTCATGGGCCTTCCTCTGGCGTCCCCGTGGATTTGAGCGCCATGGAGGTTCCGAAAGGGGCGTCCTCACTTTTCCGAGGATCCTTATGGCAAAAGCTTGGCAGCACGATCCACAAGCTTCTGGTCTGGCCGATGTCGGAACTCGAAGTTCGAGGATGGAGGATCTAGGTTTCATGGCCCACGGCCCTTTCTGGACTCCAGAGGCCTCCGCTGGCCTTCGGAGATTTCCGGGGACCCTCGGAGACTTCCAGGGACCTCCGAGAACGCTCCAGGGTCTTCTGGAGACCCTCACAGCTTTGGGGACGGAGGACGAGGGGAGTGATGCGCGGTCCAAGAGGAAGCAAAGATGGAGGAGGAGGAGGACGAGGCACAAACCATGGTGGATCAAGGCCATATTGGGATCAAGCCGCCATGGTGCCACATGTTTTCGGATGCTAGACATCGGTCGATGGTTCCGAGAAGGCGTTGTTTCCCTC